TCAAGTAAACGTGGATTTTTAAAGAATATTTCTTCAAGGATCAATAGTCAAGTAAACGTGGATTTTTAAAGAATATTTCTTCAAGGATCAATAGTCAAATAAACAAGGATTTTTAAAGGATATTTCTTCATGAATTAACAGTCGAATAAAGGTGGATTTTTAAGGAAATTTCTTCAAGGACTATTAGTCGAACAAACTTGGATTTTTAGAGGATAGTTCTTCAAGGATCAATAGTCGAGTAAACGCGGATTTTTAAAAGGATAGTCAATGATAAATATTCAATTAAACGTGAATTTTTAAAGGATATTCCCTCAAGGACCAAGAGTCAATTAAACGTGAATTTTTTAAGGATATTCCCTCAAGGACCAAGAGTCAAATAAACCTGGCTTTTTGAAGGATATTTCTTCAAGGGCCTTCATTCGAATAACGTGGATTTTGAAACGATAATTCTTCAAGGATCAAGAGTCAAATAAACCTGAATTTTTCATGGATATTTCTGCATAGACCAATAGTAGAATATATATTTTTAAAGGATACTTCTTCAAGGACCAATAGTAAGATTTTAAGGGATATTTTCTGAAGGATCAATAGTCGAATAAACGTGGATTTGTATAGGATATTTCTTCAAAGACCAACAGTCGAATATACGTTGATTTAAAGGGCATTGCTTCAATAGTCAAATAAACGGCCTAATAAAATTAGACTTTAAAGGATATTTCTTCAAGGACCAATAGTTGAAATAACATGAATTTAAAGAATATGATTTCAAGGACCAATAGTCAAATAAAAGTGGACTTTTAAAGGATATTTATTCAAGCACCAACAATCGAATAACCATGGATTTTTAAAGGAAATTTCTTTAAGAATCAACAGCCGAAATAACTTGGATTTTTAAAGGATATTTCGTCAAGGACATATAGTCAAATAAACGTGGGTTTCTAAAGAGAATTTCTTCAAGGACTAAGGGTCAAATAAATGTGGATTTTTAAGGGATATTCTTTCAAGAACCAACAGTCGAATAAATCTGGATTTTTAAAGGACATCAAGAGTCAAATACAGGATTTTAAAGGATATATCTTCAAGGGCCACCAACCGAATAAACATGGATATTTAAATTATATTTTTTCAAGGACCATTAGTAAACAAAACGTGGATGTTTAAAGGATATATCTTCAAAGACCAAGAGACAAATAAACCTTGCGGTAAGGATAGTTTTTTCAAGGACCAATAATCAAAAAAGTGGAATTTTAAAGGTTATTCCTTCAAGGACCAGTGGCCAAAAAAGTGGACTTTTAAAGAGAATTTCTTCAAAGAACAACATAGACAACATAGATTTTTTTAAGGATGTTTCTTCCAGGACTTATAGCCGAATAAATGGGGATTTTTAAAAGATATTTCTACAAGGATCAACAGTCAAATAAACTTGAAATTTTAAAGGATATTTCTTCAAGAATAACGATTCCAATAAATACCACATAGTAATTTACTTCCATTACATGTGTTATACGGCCGAAGAAGCCAAATTAAAGTCAATCGACCAATATAGGTTCACGTTTCGGTGCAGCCTTTATATTAATTTGATCCCTTATTTAAGTTCTTGCTAGGGGTTTGATAACATTTTCAATTGCTTTGGTGTTTTTTCTGACATGAGAACTCTTTACACAATATATTGTTAATAAAATAATATTAATCAATAACAATATATTACATACTTTATGAACATTGACTCCTGCCAAATAATTCGTAATATTTTCGTTCCTTTTTTCTGTAAATTCCAATTTTGCGTGCCACAATAAATCACGATTTATTAAAATCCCCCAAAAATTCGCCAAATATATTTATATATATGTTCAGCTCTTTAAGATTTATACCCATGAACACAGAATATTTCTCATAACCATAAATTCGGCATACAGAGTGCTGCCTTTGAAATGCAAGCTATCTGCATCACCAGGGACAACAACAAGAAGAAGCAAAAAAAAGTACAAACACCATTGAGTGCGACAGTATCACATTCGCATACAAGTGTCACATTTATGCACATTAATGTGCAAAAAATTGTTTTAAAATTATAAAACAACAAAAAAAAAAAAAAAACGAGTTACCACTTTTGGAATTCGTTTATCAACTCCAGTTGCTGTTGCACTCTTTTTTTCGACAGAAACATATGCTTATTTTCTCTTTTCAGAGGAATAGCAACAAAAAGTGAGCGAGTCTCCCAAAAATAAACATATTGTAACAGTGAATAATTGACCAAACAAGCGACCGACGAACCAACAATCCACATTTGCCACACATCACGGAGAATTTACAACATCTGTTGATAGTTTTTTCCGGGTCTCTATCTCGTCCACTTTTTTTGTCGAGATATTCACTAACCTCAACGTTCCGTTACCATGCCACACCACATGGTGGCCAATATCATAAGCAGTAGTATCATTGTCATCAGTGGGAACACAAAAACCATGCGACCACCCTGAAATGTTGGTGTGCCCAAACAAACAAAGAAAAAAAAACACCTCCATAAAGGACCAATATAATAACAATTTGCGGGACAGTATTAACAACTGAACTCCAGTGAACTGTTGGATAGAAAAACAAAGACAAATTTACTGTGGAGACAGAGCGAAACATTCTCAGGTTATAAATATAAAATATATGAATTTCTCTTCTATACAGAAAATAAGGCCTTGGAGGCGTCTTCTGTACAGAATAAGAGAAGAGCTTTCTAGTCCGTACAGAAGAGAAGGCCTCTCGGGGCCTTCTATTCCGCAAACAAACGTGGATTTTTATAGGATATTTCTTCAAAGACTAATAGTCAAATAAACGTGGATTTTTAAAGGATATTTCTTCAAGGACTAATAGTCAAATAAACGTGGATTTTTTAAAGGATATTTCTTCAATGAACAACAGTCAAATTAACGTGGATTTTTAAAGGATATTTCTTCAATGAACAACAGTCAAATTAACGTGGATTTTTAAAGGATATTTCTTCAAGGACTAATAGTCAAAAAAACGTGGATTTTTAAAGGATATTTCTTCAATGAACAACAGTCAAATTAACGTGGATTTTTAAAGGATATTTCTTCAAGGACTAATAGTCAAAAAAACGTGGATTTTTTAAAGGATATTTCTTCAATGAACAACAGTCAAATTAACGTGGATTTTAAAGGATATTTCTTCAAGGACTAATAGTCAAAAAAACGTGGATTTTTAAAGGATATTTCTTCAAGGACTAATAGTCAAATAAACGTGGATTTTCAAAGGATATTTCTTCAATGAACAACAGTCAAATTAACGTGGATTTTTAAAGGATATTTCGTCAAGGACTAATAGTCAAATAAACGTGGATTTTTAAAGGATATTTCTGCAATGACCAAGAGTCAAATGAACGTGCATTTTAAAGGATATTACTTCAAGGACCTATAGTCAAATGAACGTGCATTTTAAAGGATATTACTTCAAGGACCTATAGTCAAATAAACGTAGATTTTTAAAGGCTATTTCTTCAAAAACCAACCAAACCAAATACGTGGATTTCTAAAGGACATTTCTTCAAGGACCAATAGTCAAATAAACGGCCGAATAAAATTAGATGTTAAAGGATATTTTTTCAAGGATCAATAGTCAATAAACGTGGTTTTTAAGGATGTTTCTTCAAGGACCAATGGTCGAAAAAACGTGGGTTTTGAACGGATATTTCTTCAAGGACCAATGGTCGAATATACGTAGAATTTTAAGAATATATCTTTAAGGACCAACCATTGACAAAACTTGAAATTGAAGAGAAGGTCTCTCGGGGCCTTCTTTTCCGTATAGAAGAGAAGGCCTCTCCGGGCCTTCAATTCCGCATAGAAGAGAAGGTTTTTGGGGCCTTCTATTCCGCATAGAAGAGAAGGCCTCTCGCGGCCTTCTATTCCGTATAGAAGAGAAGGCCTCTCGCGGCCTTCTATTCCGTATAGAAGAGAAGGCCTCTCGCGGCCTTCTATTCCGTATAGAAGAGAAGGCCTCTCGCGGCCTTCTATTCCGTATAGAAGAGAAGGCCTCTCGGGGCCTTCTATTCCGTATAGGAGAAGAGAAGACCCCTGGAGCCTTCTATTCCGTATAGAAGAAGAGAAGGCCCCTGGAGCCTTCTATTCCGTATAGAAGAAGAGAAGGCCCCTGGAGCCTTCTATTCTTTTCCTTAAAGAAGAGAAGTCCTCTGGAGCCTCCATAGGGCCTCCTTTTTCCCTATGGAAGAGAAGGCCACTGGGGTCATTTCCAAGAGCTCTGGGAAGAGAAGGTTTCTAGGGCCTTATTTTCTTATTTGTAAGGAGGAGATGGCCTCTGGGATCTTATTTTCCGCTCAGGGTCCTTCCATTATTTCTTTCAATAAAATTTACAAAATAACTTCCACACAAGTCCGTTTAGCTGAATATGCTATTTCCGCAACACTTCTAACCCACATCCATCATCAAAATACAATTTTTCAAATATTATTGACAAATTAAATTTTCAACACTTCCACTGTTCGACGGAGAGATTGGTTTGATTGTGGCTAGTAAATGGTTTTATAGAAATTTGCGATTCAGGCTTTTTTGTGGCCATGACGCACACACACATACACATGCTCAGCCAGTGAGTAAACTAAATTTACATAAATGCCACTTTCCGCCACCACCACCAGCGCCATGGCCACAAATGGTGGTCAAAAGAACGGTCCAACAACTGGACACATTTGCTGAGTATCATCTCTCCGGCGTTGGGTATTCGAATAAATATACATATGTTAACATTTATCATATTCCAAACGAAAAATTGAAAACTCTTCATGCCTGACACCATGACGAACACAGACACACACATACTTCGCCCATTCCGAAAAAAATACCGAATATTTTGTGACAACAATTGAACCGAAAAAAAAAAAAAAACACAACTCCATCAAAATATGTGGAGCAAAAGGTAACAAGCGTCAATAATGGCCAGCTTGGTTGCTTTGTGTGATCGGCAATACTTACTGTTAAGCGACGATGATGGGCTAATTGAGCCACCACCGGCTACGATAACCCCATTGCCGCTAAGCACTGTGCCTTTGTTGTTGTTGTTGTTGACCGCATTGGTCGCAATGGAGTTCTTGGGTATGTGGTGATGCATTCCACCGACGCCGTTGGCGGCATTGGTGTGCGACGAGCCAATCTGCTGTGGTATGATCTTGTTGGTGGAGTCCCCCGCTCTTGCTGATAGCAGTAGGAGGGCCCCAATTAGGTACCAGGGGCCCATCAACTCGACACGGTTTGTCGATGCAGATGTTGGTGTCGTTTGTTGCCGCTGCTGCTGCAGCTGCTGTTGTTGTGGGTGTTGTTGTTCCTGCTGCAGCTGTTGTTTCGGGTGTGGATTGAATGGCCTAGTCTCTGGATTTGCTGTGAGTTTTGTTGATATTTCTGTCGCCTCTGCTGCTGTTGTTGTTGTTGCTCTTCTCTTTGTTGTTCGCCACTTGTGTTATAGACAAATCCAAACGAGTCTATGCCAGCATAAATGTTGCAATGCTGCAACAACATTATTTTAGCACATGCAACAAACATGCAACGCTTAGTTATATCGTCTCAGCGGCATTTGAAGTGTATTTTTGTTAGGAGACTTCTTTGTTTGATTTTTATAAAAAATTGATGCCTTCACTGGTGTTCTATTGTTGATAAAGGGACGAGTTTGATTCTTCCTTGTCCATAAGGTTTGAAACCTGGAAAATAAAAAAAAAAATATATATAAATAAATAAGATAAATGAATTGAATTGATTAATAAATAAATAAGATAATTTTGACATTTGCCGGATAATTGTTAAAATAAGACTCGACAACATCACAAGGAAGATTCCTAAAAACCGCCATATTTTGAAGGAAGTCTTTGACTACATATTTTTAATAAAACCAATAAAGAAAGAAAGTCGGCCCCGCCCGACTTTATGATACCCTACACCACCTTGCTAATTTAGTAGAGCTCCACATAAAAATTAAAAGTTTTTATGGGAGAATTCAATCATATATGCTATGATTAAAATTGTAATTTGAAGTTCGAAAGACAAAATATGCCGAAGCATTTGTATCTTTTAAATTCGGACATGTATAGCCCATTTGATATATATGGGAGCTTTATCTGAATCTGAACCGATCTTGATAAAATTTGGCAAAGATATTTCTGAGCTGTATTTCATATATTTTCCTGAATATCGTTGTTACGGAGTGCATATTACGGCTGTAGGTAACAAATACAACAAATCGGATGAACAATATATATGGGAGCTATAGCTATATCTGAACCGATCTTCACCAAATTTGAAGCTTCTAGATTCAATTCGGTCGTAAGTGCTAAATTTCATCCCATTTGGGCAAATATTAGACGTTTGGTGCACAATAAAATGTAAATCGGACGAAGTTATATATGGGAGCTATATCCAAATCTGAACCGATCTCGATAAAATTTAGCAAAAGTATTTCTGAGCTGCATTTGATATATTTCCCCAAATATTGTTGTTACAGAGTGCATATTACGGCTGCAGAGGACAAAAATAACAAATCTGATGAACAATATATATATGGGAGCTATAGCTATATCTGAACCGATTTCGATCAAATTTGGCATACTTATTTTTAGGCCTAATTTGGTTGTATGTGCAAAATTCCATACTATTCGGGCTGATATTATAAGGTTCGTCCTTGGGCCAAACAAATGATTTGTGCAAAATTTCATCTGGATCGGGTAATAAATGCGAAGTGTACTTTGTTCACAAAAATACATGGACAGACGGATGGACGGACAGACGGACGGACATGCATAAATCGACTCAGAATGTGATTCTATGCAGATCATCAAAAGGAACTATGGGTCCATCTCGTTTCCTTTTGCCTGTTACAAACAAATGCACAAAGACACAATACCCTGACCACCTTGTGGTGTAGAGTATAAATAGTTTTTGGCTGAACGGTTCTTAAATATCATTGGACTTAGTTCTGAAAATATATTTTATGATATCAAATCCTCCCGTTTGTAATACCTTGAAATATAAATTTTAGATTCACACAAAATATATACATTTTTGATCAACATAAAATTTTATGTCGATTTAGCAAAGTCCGTCCGTGTGCCCGTCTGCCGTCTAAAGAAATCACTCTAGGTTCCGAAGGAACTGAAATAGGTTTATAAAATTTTACTCGAATATTCAATATATCTGCAGAAGTTTTGGTATTGAAAATGGGCCATGTAGGTTCACGTTTTGCTATATCCCCCATATAATGGTAGCTCCCTATTTGCGGTATTTTGATGATTTTAGTGACATTATTCACCGGAGTTATTTAAAATTTCGTATTTAAAGTTCCTAATAGGTACTACAGTCTATGATAGAAAATTGTCCGTGCAGGTCCACTCCTTCGTATAGCCCCCATATAACGGCACCCTCCGATATTCGGTATTTTGACGATTTTAGCGACTATGGTATTTTAAGATGTCCTAATATACGAACCATGTCAAAATCCCACGGACATTATCCCCAATGATATGATGGGGATTATGACAATTTTTTCGGTCATCTGGCTCAAAATGGAATGCGGATAAAGCCCAACAAAAAACAAATAAATAAATCGGCCACAGTCTCCAGAAAGTAGCCATAATTATGGCTAAATTATGTCCAAATGGATTGCGTACAATTTTTATATATATACCTACCGCTATTTAAACCTGACTACGACAAAAAATTTTTTCAGTTATCCGGTTGTTCGAACCGAAAGTTCGGGTTTTATCCGGTTCTACAAAACTGATATGTAAAAAATATCATTTGAAAGCCTATGGGGATACCTATACCAAGGGCTCATATGCATGAACCGGAGCAATACAAGAAAATTGGTATTTTTGTACCGGAACTTTTGTAAAGATCCCTGAAAATTTACCCGTTACGGCGGATGATAGCATACACTCTTGCCTTTCCCAAATTATGCTGATATCTCTTGTAGTTCCGAAGATATTAGTAAAAAATTCATGAAATTGAAATATTCTGAGATTTACTCCATTTTATAGCTTTTTTAAAGGAGTCAGCCTTCGCTTGGGGCTTGGGATTTTCTCCTCTGAGGTATATCCAACACAGGCTAGGATATCCACAGTTTTTTGCAAACTTTACAAGTTTTGTCAGTAGCCGGCCTTCGGACGCGACTTGAGATTTTTGCCTCTGGGGTGTGTCCAACCCAATCCATCTTTTTTTATAAACTTTTAATTTGATTTGAATTTCAGGTCAATCCAGGCATAGCCCCTAAACTTAACTTAAGGCTTGTTTTCTTCCCCCCCATTGCGATCATACTCTCCATGGGAATTATGGGTGTTATGACCAAAAAAAAAACCGACATAATACCCATAACTGCAATGAGGATTATGTCTGAGTACCCTTAAAAATGTCATTTTTTATTTTGCAGAGGGAATTTCCCAAGAGGTTAGAGATTAAGACGCCTATAATTTTGGATAGAACGTAACTTTTTTGTGAAGTAGTAGTAGTAGTTTTGAGTATCTATCAGCACGACAGAGGACGAAAATATATAAATATAATATGCCACTGGTCAATAATCAAAGGTAACATTTTTGAAGGGCCTTTGTCATTTTTCCAAAATTTGTCATTTTTGTCATTTTTCCAAAAACGAAATTGACCAAAATGGGCTTGGGCCTAATGGGGTTTCCAAATATATTAAAATGTGGTAGGGTATCACATCGTCGGTCCCGCATTTCTACAGCCTTTGCTTACTTTATTTAATTAAATCATTTTATTCAGAGGATCCTTTGACAATATTTTCTTAAAAATCAACAACTTTATCCAGGATAACCTTAAAAAATTAAATAACAAATAAATAAAACTATTTCAAAAAAAGACTTTTTCCCAAAAAAAATCCTTTTAAATCATAATTTTAAAATTTCAAGACTTGGCTAAAAATTTTTTTAAAACCACGATTTTTATGTAGGAATGCTTTATACAATATTTTCTAAATCGAAGAATCCGGAAAAATGGGAAAGTCCACAAAGTCGTTAATAAATGTTTTCCAAAAATATTGTTCCTAGCCTTGAAGATATTTTAAAAATATCCATAATTCTTGGCCTGGACTCCCTTGAAAAGCTCTAAGAACCTGATCATCGTGTGCCAAAAATATGAATATGGTCAAAATTGTACCGAGGCAGTGACGTCATTCGATATTCGTTTTTTTTTTCAAAAATGTTAACTTTTTGTGAGAATATAATAAATAGTTTTATGATTTCCAAAAGTCAGGGACTTATTATGCTTTTGACCATATTGACCATTTTGGGTGTGGTAATAGAAAGAGGGCCTGCGATATTTTAGTCTCACACTAGATTGAGGAAGACTATGGAAAATTTCTAATATTTTAATTGTCATGATTACTGAGAATTATACCATTTGTGGTTGAGATATCGAAAGGAATGGCCGATATTTAGGATATCACCACAAGACCTTCGTCAAATTAAAATATAGCTTTTTGTAAAATGTTAATTCAGTTAAAAATGTTGACCTTTTATAAGGTTCGTACTAGAAATAGGGGGCAAATTTAATATTGGCAAAAATGTTTGTGCAAAATTTTGCGAAAATCGGAGATTTTATGAGAGATAATATTCAAAATATTTGCCTTTTGTGGAAGAGATACGAAAAGGACTGGGTCAATTTTTTTTTTTTTTTTTTTTTTTTTTTTTTTTGTGTAAATTTCTAATTTTTGTGCGGGAGGAGCCAGAAGTAGTGACTGATAGGCAGAACTCAGATTTGCTTAATTTAATTCGGAGCGAAACTTGCTCGCGATCAGGATTGCTCAAAGAGTGGGAGTTTTTACGGAGGCGACTCTTCACCCTATCGTTTGTGTGTGGACACTCCTGAGTCACTCGAATTCGAGTTTCACTCTTTGAGCAAAATCGAGCGAGGTCTGCCGAAAAATATTGCGATGCAATAAAGTTTTGACTCGATCGGATACACTCTTTGAGAGTAATCATACGCACCAAAACAGACAGACGAAGGTAGTAAGATCGATTCCTAATATCCCATAATTGATAGGATTTAAAACCGTTATTCCGATCTATAGGATCTACAACCGTTATTCCGACCGTTATTGGTCATATCTTGACCATATATGTAGAGTCCTGGCAATACGGCTGAGAGTGTCATGTACCTTAATTAAAAACCCATCTCTGCAAATATTTCATACACTACTCTCTTTTTTTCTGCTAGAGATTCATTATGAATTTCCTATTTGTCTTCGAAGCTGGCAAACCCCTAAAACTCCTGCAGACTGGTGGAGAACTTCCTTCATGGAAAGAGAAATAATGCAAATATTTCTCTTTTTTTGTTTTGCAAACACACTATGTATGGAAATCCAAACAAACAAAAACAAATAAAGTTTCCTTCCCTTTCGAAGGAATTTCCCTGCAGTGCAACACAACGAGACTATGAAGACGTTAGAGAAGTTTTCCAACAATAACATTTGTTACCACAAATTCATTTCTTTTGCTTTTAGTTTTCTAAGTCCTTATGACTAATTCGTTTTGTTGTAGTTTTCTGCTCGGTTCTATGTTCTTTTTTTG